TTTACATAACTTACTATATATGTTTCATAACTATATAAGTAGAAATAGAATTCATTATAATGTTCCTCCTTTGATATGATCTATAGCTACACAACTGTATCCAGACATCCTTGCCAAATTCTGGCAAAATGACACCCGCATGATTCACTCTGATAATCTGGTTTCGTGCCAGGGTTATAAGGTTGTATTAGTTTGGTAATAACAGATGGCAATAAAAATATATATGAAAGTTTCAAACTCAACAGAATAAAAAAAGTGCAATAGTAAATTATGAGAAGAACCACACTTTAAGCATCATGAATTAGGTCTTTACTTTTGTAATGCACAACTATGCCATACTGGAATATATCAAAAAGAAAATACCATACAAGTATAAAATATTGTACCGATGTCATGTTAACACTGTATACAAATGCTAGTTCTTAAAACTCTAGAAAAGTGTTCCACACTCACTCTCATACTGCATTAAGAGTCTGAGAATAACTAAGTCTATGGGTTAGTTTTTGATCAAGGGTTTGAGCTGGAAATGGAGGCAGGCATTGTAGTTGTTAACAACTTATTGAAAACTTCACTCTCATTAAAGACACTATCTTACCATAAGGTGTTTTGTTTTTCCTTGTTCTTGTTACTACGAGGAAAATCAGAAGTCAGAGAGAATACAAGCTATTGAATAAACAGAAATGCTGCATTTCTGGTACAATGACAAACCTATTTTGGCACTTTCTCAAATAATGCCTTTTTCAGTTAATACCAAGTCCAAGTTCTTATATTAGGTACACACATTTCTAGTGAATACATAGTGACTCAACATGTAAGTGCTAAAGCATGTATAAAATAATTTCATAAGAGAACTACAAATGCTAGAATTACATCCAAGCCAGATGTAAGTTTGCTGCTGAGAACTATCTCACCTATCAGAGCCCAAACACATTCCTAAATCCAGGCAATGAACAAAAATAAAAGTTGATAAAATTGCTTAGGCCATTTATTCCCATATAGAATTGTTCCCAATAGTATGTGATTTAATTTTAATTCATCCAGTTTTTAAAAAATGCTTGGTGCTAACAAATTCCAATTGCTTTGTTTAGAAATCTATTAGCAGACTAGTTGGTATTGATATAATACCACAGTTAATTGTACCTTCTAGATTTGGGAAGCCAGGCTGCTCTGTAGCAATCCCATAAACCTAATTAGATAATGCAAAGTTAATTTCTTCCTCAAGTTTCAGTATACCAGTCCTTGTATTCAGTGAACTGAATCGGGTCTCCCTGCTGGCGTGTTTAAATGCTTCTCAGGAGCAATGCTTGAAAACACTACGAAGGCTTTGGGAGCTCAGAAGGGAATTTGTAATGGAGTCGAAATAAGAACATTTCTCATTTTGAAATATCCAGGATTCTTAGCAAATGAAATAACTGAAGTAGCTCTTCCTGATCTGAAGGACGTAAGCCATGAGTAGTTGCTGTTTAAGGTGTCTCTGTTGTTGCTTTGAAGAGTCACAAGGCTGAGTTAAGAGTTAAAAATCTCATTTTACAAAGAAATTATCATTTTATAATCTTTACACAGATTACTGAAATGCTGGACACACACAATTTTGATATTCTCTTTCTTCAAATACATCAGCCAAATTAACATACTGAAGACTAAAACTTTTCCTAAGGTTCTAGGGATAAAATTTCTTTTCCAACCAATTTTTTAGTTATGACTTTACAAGTTACTGGAGTCCAGACAGACAAAGAAATGCCTAATATATGTTATAATATCTAGTATGTACTCTACTCTCTAATGTCATCACAACTACATGATTACAGATCAGTCTTAAAAAACATATACACGTATCTATGTACTCACACACCACTTTGATGGAGAGCCACCTAAATACAGTAGCAAACAACATGGGTCTAGTGCCTCTCTGATTCTTATGGTTTTCTTTCTCTCCTATGGTAGGTGGTGAAGATTACTGTTTACCACCTCAACTCTTTTCTCATTTGGCAGTTCCCCCAGCCAGTTATTTACTAACTAATTTACCTCTGTACCATCCAAGATGCTAAACAATTCCTTTGTCTCTAGATCTAAGTACTACTGGTTAGATCAGTAGATTATTCCTCCAAGGCTATGGGTACATCCTTCCTTAACCAGCTTTTTCCAGAGTGTAGCACTTGAATTTGCTGATGGTCCTGACCATGTTTCCTGTCTCATATTCTATTTTTTTTTCCAGGGCCCAGTCATGTCCCCAGGGTTGATCATCATCTTTCATACTGTTCCATATACTTGACTGCTTTCCTCGTGTTCTCTTAGAGGTAAGATGTTCTAAGACAAGCTGTCTGATAGCACCCGATCTCATTATAGTAGGTGCTGCTTCTATGGGATTCTGTGGGTCCTGGTGGATTTAGCTAGTAACAATTCTCATTTTACTGCAATTATTTGTCTGCACATCTAGGCACAAAATCCTGTGACCAAACACAATGTGATCACCTATTTTATGTTGGACCCACACAAATTACCATTCAACTCAAGATACTTAGTGAAAGGATGAAGGCTAAGGGACAATGAATGCAAACTGCAACAAATAATCACCCTAATAACTGACCTGAGCAGCTACACTTCTCATGACCTGAATCAAGACTACATCTTTGAGTTTATCCAGTACTACACTCTCTCTAAACCAACATGCACCAGCCACACACCACCTCTCAGTCCAAGCTCTGGGACTTTTGCAATTCTTGTACCCTCTGTCTGGAATGCAACTCCCTCAGATTACCAGGGCTTCCCCTAGGCTTCAGCTCAGCCATCATCTTTCCTGACCCTCCTTGACTTCCCGTGAATGATCTTTTCTGTGCCTCCATCTCATTCTCTTAACTGAAATTATTCTATTGCCTACGTATCCTGCTTTCGGTGCACTCCATAGGAACTTGTCTATGTTGTTAAAATCTGTGGAGTACAGGGTCAGAGAGGAGAGCTTAAAGTTGGGACACTTGAGACTGAATCTTCGCCCTACTGCTTACTAAGTAAATGAGCTTAGACAGCTTGGACAGAGTTCATCTCTCTAGAGTTAGCAGATTCATGTATAAAGGTAGGTTCAGATCAGACTTAGAGGATGTCCATTACAATTAAACAACATGCAGAATATTTACCTGCTCAAAGAAAGGACTCAACACATGTAATCTATTATCACTGTTATTATTTTCTACTGTATGGTACCTACAATGTCCACAGCAATGGAGTCCAGTTAGTTCTACTCAACAATATCTGAATGGTTGAATTTGAATTGCTAAGTTAATGTCATGATTTCTTCAACTCCCTTGAAAAAGCTACTCTAAAGCTGAAATAGCCTGCTATTTCATTTCCTTTAAATATGACCCAAGCTTAACTTTTCCAACATTTTTTTCACCAGTAAAACTGGGCTTCTAGCCAGGTACTGGTGGCTCATGCTTGCAATCCCAGCGACTCAAGAAGCTGGGCTCTGAGGGTTGTGGTTCAAAGTTAGCCAGGATACGAAGGTCCAATGAACCTCCACACAGCCAGAAGTAGAGGTGTGGCTCAAGTGGTAGAGAGCCAAGCTTCAGCAAAAAGGCTAGTGCCCAGACCCTGAGTTCAAGCCCCACTACCGACACAAATACAAAACAAACAAAAAAACATGGATTTCTTTTTGGTCTCACCATTATTCCTTGTTCTTCCTTGTAACTCTACCTGACTTAAGCCCACTGACATTCAAGTTCTAGCCACATACTATGGTGTGTGTTTTTTTCCTTCTCAACTCCCACCTCCCACACCTCTGTAAAAACCGTTTCATGACTGCTACAAATTCATACAGCTTCTCTCTCTGAGCAGACCAGAGTCTGTGCCCTTGATATTCTGCACAGCCCAGTGCCTCACAAGAAAACAAAAGAAAGCCTGAAACACAGGAATTGTGCAAATGGAAGATTGGTGGTCTAGCACATGCATGCCTTTCCTCTGTGTGTGTGTGTGTGTGTGTGTGTCCTCAAGTAGAATGTAAGTCCTGAGAACAAATACTTTCACATTAGATACTCTCAATATTCTTCAGGACATAGATATATTTACAGAATTGCTATTATGGATGCCTACTATGTGGCCATTATGTCAAGAATTGAGTAACATCTTCCTAGGCCAGGATTGTCTAACATCTCCACTCTATTCAATCTCCAATGCCTAGAGCAACAAGTGACATGAAAAAACACTCAAAAATATGTAAAATAACTGTTGAGGGAATAGTACTATATTTTATAGTATAGTTTATAATATCAATATATCATCCAACTGTTACAAAAATTCCATCACCATTTATGTGAATTCCACTTTTTTATGCTTCTCCTTCTGCCTCATATAAAAACAATCATAAACCCTTTCATAGCCTTTGTCAATTATATTTTAAAAATTAAATGTTCTAATTTAGTTACTTTTTCTTGTTAGACTATATATTCAATCTGCAAGAATATGAACTCAATACAAAGACCATTATCTACTTGGAAGCTGAATCATCATCATGATTTTCCTGCATATAACAGCTACTTCCTATATTGAAATCTTGTCGTCCAACTCTTTGAAGTTTGAATTTGGGCAAATATTCTGTTTACAGGTGGCTCAAGCTCAGAATTTACTTTTCATTCATGATGCATTCATTTCTCTTCCTCCAACCCATTATTGACAGGCCTAACACAACTTATACAGAAACCCCAATTACATGTATCTTAATTTATCCTACATAGCTAGCATAAGTCACAAAAGAATGACCCAAATCTGTTGTCCAACAGTTTTTATTCCCCTTACTGATATCTGCACACTCCCAGATGGCTATCTTAAACCTTTCTGCCAATTAGTTTGGCTGTTAATGAAATACACCCTTGTGATAGCTCTCATATAGTTTCTTTACATTGCTACTGGATCAAGGGATGTCTTATTTCCCCTCTCAACTCCCTTCCTAAAGTACGATGAATATAAGCTCTTGAGAGCAGATAGTCTCAGTATTCTCTACAGAGTCTTACCGAGGTAAGAGATGGAGATTCTGGCTGTAGAAGGTCGATGATTGACCTTACTAAGACCATGAAGTGGGAAACCCCGCCATAGAAATTCTGAATACAGAAATTCTTAGGACGCCACTAAACATTTTAGGCACGCAAACCCAATCCTTTGGGGAAGACATGGATATATCTTACTTCATGTTGTCTAACAAAAAATTTGATTATGTGCCTGCTCAGACTTAGCATCAAGTAGAGACAGGACAGAAAGTCTATGACTAGCTCTCTCCCCAAGGGGCTATCCATGGTCTAAAGCTCTGGTTTACCAGAAATTCTAGGAAAAGAAAAAGCTTTTCTAATTCTCAACCCTGAAAAACATACCTGGGTTTGCATTAATTTGAGAAGGTCTATAAACCTGGATTTCTTTAGTGATATGGGGATTTTTTAAAAAAAAATTATGATGGTGGTTAGGTGGTGGAGGGTTGGGAAGAAACAAGAAAACAAAAAACGATCCTGTCAGGGAAGAAGAACTGAAACAGTGACTACCCTGCTACTTGGCTCCATCCCTAATAGTATTAACTATGTGAAACAGACTCTTAGGTCAAGGTCACAACTTTTCAGTTCACAAGGATGGTTATTACGGAGGTAAAATGATCTGGATGCATTAACATGGAATTGACACAGGGTGGTCAAATCTGCCACAAATCCTCATTTCATCGATATTCCTTTCCAATCTCTCAGCTTGTTTATCACATAGTCATCTTGGCCTTAGAGTAGTACCTGAATTAGGTCTTACCACATATTGTCTGGAACGTAGGTGGCATTAATGGTTCGGTATTAAGGGCTGTATTTAAAGAGAAGTATCTCTATGTTTTACCAGCACTGAACCTTTCAGTAGAACTACCAAAGTTAAAAATGTGTCAAGATTTCCATTACAAACTTTTATTTTCAGAGTTGATGATTGAACTTTAAACATTCAGGTCTAAAATCTGAGGGAAAGGGTGTCAATCTGAAACATACTATAATTTGTTTCATTAAAGGAACTTTCTACATTTTTACAAGGCTAACTGGCATTAAAAAAAAAAAAGTAACCAAGTACAACAGAAAAAGTGCAAATGCTGTCATCCCAACTTTTCAGAATATTATCCTAGACCTCTTAATATCTTCACTCACACATCCAATCCCACCAAACCCAGAGGTCTTTGCATCTTTAACAGTTCATGAATTAAAAGTACATTCTTCAGCTCCCCAACTCCTCAGACAAACCAAGTAAGCAATGTAACCTGTCATCTGAGCTATATAATTTCTATGTCTAGCATATGCATGTTTCCTGCAGCCACTCACAGTGGTCTTTCAAAACACAAACATGATCATGTCCTAAATTTTGAGTATGGTGTGTAAGACACATCCCCAGCTTTGTAACATCATTCCACCTCTCTTCTCCCTTTGCATGTTCCAACTCCACTGGTCTTCCAGTCCCGCCCTTTGTTCACCACACCTCCTGCCTCAGAATCTCTATTTCTATTACTCCTTCCAAAACTGTCTCTTCCTACTCCCAGATCAACAACTCTTCTTCATCTCTTAGATTTCAATTCAAATGTAATTTCTTCAGGCAATGCTTTTATGACCACCTCTCCCCCCCCCTCACAGAATGTAGCAACATTGTTCATGGAGGCTTGGTTAATGTGTATTTCACTATGCTACAAGACCTGTGAGGTTAAGGGCAAAGAGTGCTTCTTTAATTTCTAGCATTATACCTGATGTCAAGCAGGCATTCAAAACTGTTTGAGTAAATCGATGGACAATAAACCAAACAACAAAATAGGACTGGAACAGTAGGATCGTTTTTTTAAATCATTCCCTTTAAAGGGCAAAGACTCAAACAGGAGATGGTAAGAAATATGTTTCTCTTGTCTTTACAAGTGGGCAGATCTAAAGTAAAAATTAAAAATCTGGATAAATTTACACTAATAAAACATAATGTAATAAGGTAAGGAAGGTCCAGGTCTTAACAGACTTCATTTTGTTGAATGAGAATACTGATAGTACAGGACACACACACACACACACACACACACACACACACACACACACAGAATAAGGCAGATGTAGCCACCAGAACAAGCATGCTAAAAGTAAAGACAGAACCTACATGTGACTAATTATTCTAGCCTATTTCAGGCCATTTAAGATGGGCTGGTGAGAGAGCCCAGCATTAGAGAAGCAAGGTTCTCATAATGGATGGCACCTGGGGGGAGGAGAAACTCAAGAATTTTCCATAACAGCAGCTCTTCCAGGGCTGGGTCTCAGGAGTTCTTTGGGTGATGGAGAGTCTCTACACTCTTATGATTTAAACACTCCTCCTACACTCGCCTGGATTACTGTTTGCCTGGGAAAGTTAAAGGGTTTCATTCTTCTGATACCTAAGCATTCTCTCGAATGTTAATTTATGTTGGTAAATAATAAAATCTAGCGTCTATCTTGCACCTGTGAGAAATCACAATGGGATCCACTGATAAACTTTATCCAAAAAAAAAAAAAAAAGGACCACAGCAATCAGGATTTCGTCACCTCACGCCATCCTTAAACGAGCTGTGTGGCTGAGCGGGTCTCAACACCAGTATCTCAGTTTGGGAAGGGGTACCGCGCTGAAGTAAAGGACATCCTGGACACCGTTAGGTTTGTCCATTTCCCCGTAACTTTTCTCCTAGAGAATCAGGGGCTAACCCCCTCATGAAAGGCCATTCGAGGACTCTAAATGGTCCCAAGCAAGTGTCACCTTCCGTGATCCCAGCAGCTATGGCTGGGAGAGCAACAATGCTAAGCCAGGCCCCCATGCCCCAGGGCAGCCAGGAACCCACCCAAAAGGGACAGGTGGACACGTCACCAAAAAACCGTCCCTTAGATAACCCGGTGGGGCTCCAACCCGGCCCGGATGCCCACCGTCCCCCAGAGACTTGTAGATGTGACTTGTGCGTCTGAAGTTGTGACCAGGGCCAGATCCGACGGGGGGACACACTCTCCCCGGGATTCTCAACGTCCCAAAGGCTGCCAGGGGGGCCCAGCTCCGCAGGAGGAAAGTCAGGGAGGACGATCACACCCAGGCGCGGCTCCGCTTCCCGGCAAAAGGCACCCTGCACAGGGGGACGCCTACAAACTCCTGTTTCTCCGGGGCCTCGAACCCCTCACGCTTGGCTCCTGGGGCCCGTAGGGGGAGGGGTGCGCGAAGTCTCGGAGGAAAAAGGCGGAGGGTGGCGGGGGTTACGACGGTTCACCGGGAAGAAGGGGTCACGCGGAGGGTGAGGGGGGCGGGCAGGAGCCAGCTCCTTCCATCCACCAACGGCTGGCTGGGTCGGTGCCCGGCGCGCGCCGGGCTCGCGGTAACTAAGGCTCCCCAGGCGTCAGGCTAAGCCCCGGAAAAGCCCGGGGTGTCAAGGCTAACACCCCGCGTCCGAGGCGGCAGACAAATGCGTCCCCGCGGGGCAGCCGCCAGCTCCGCGCCCTGGCGCGGCGCAAGTTACTTAGTTTCAGCCGGGAAAGAGGAAGCAGGATCGGAGCGCGGCGAGCCCAAGGGGAGGAGGGTGGAAGGGGCAGGATTCGAACCTCCGGTCGTCCAAGCAAACCGGAGGAACGGCCAGGGCAGGGCGAGGCCCCGGCCCTTGGAGTGGAAGCGGGCAGCGCGCGCTCGGTGGAGCGGGGCGGAGGCGGGGCGCCATGGTCCTCCCCGGCTGCTCGGCGGGCGGACCCGGGGTA